ACGAGATACCGATTGAGTTGAGATATTGCCGTTACCGCTTCGAACGGCGAAAGCACCAATAAAGTAACATGCTTGGAGAATGTCAAAAGTCTTCCTCGTCCAGTGTAAGCAACCTCTCCTGCTCAAAGCAAGAACCTTTGTCCCAAGCCAGCATCAGCCCAATTCTGATCGCTGTTTTGGAAACCTTTCCGCCCCGGCTTTTTCCTCTTAGTGCTTTCTTCGCGCTTGCAGATAGACACGAACCTTTACATTTCTTCGATGACATATTTCAGTTCAAATCAACAATCCACAAACGGAGAACACTCAGAACAGCTCGTCGACCACCAAACACAAACGTTTTACAATCGTACTACGCGGCATCTGTCACGCAGCGTTTTAAAGATCTACGAAGGTTTATAAGTCTTTGCACGGGTTGACTCCAGAATATCTAAGTTCTAAATTTTAGAGCCAAGAAACCGCATATAATCTAAGGGACTCTGAGAATAAACTAAATGTTCCATTGCTGCGCACAAACTATTATAAAAATAGCTTTAGCTCTAGTGGCGCCATTCTTTTAGAACAGTCCTCCTTGTGACTTAAGGTGGCTCTAAACGGTTTCCAACACTTAGATTTGGATGGGTCGTTATATCCACTCTTTATCACTTGATGCTACAGTCATGGTCCCTAGAAACTGCCCAATCATTGGTAAACACGTTGTTATCATTTTCATGACACAATAGGTTACCATAGCAACAGTATGACCTCCTAAAAACACCCTTAATTACTGCTTTAGGGGCTTATAATTCAAAAACGGCACGGTGAAATTTTTTTATATTATCAACTTTTAATAACCATGGGGTTTAGAGCCACCTTAAGTTTTTCGAAAATTTAAGGTGGCTTTGAAACCCATGTACAGAATTTTTTTAAACTTTGCCAAAAATTGCGTCTTATCATGCTTATCAAACGTTGATAATATAAAAAAATTTCACCGTGCCGTTTTTGAATTATAAGCCCCTAAAGCAGTAACTAAGGGTGTTTTTAGGAGGTCATACTGTTGCTATGGCAACCTATTGTGCCACGTAAAAGATAAGAACGTGTTCACCAATGATTGAGCAGTTTTTTGATACCATGATTATACCATCAAGTGATAAAGAGTGGTTACAACGACCCATCCAAATATAAGTGCTTGAAACTCTTTTGAGCCACCTTAAGGGAAGCAGAGTCCCTGAGGCAGTTTAAACGCCTACTGAAAAGAGATGTATAATGCACGGCATTCGTGGAAAGCAGCATTTTTTAAATTTAATTACTTTTTTACCATTAGCTATTAGTAGTTTTAGCCGACGAATCTTTAACTGTGTTTAAATAAAGATTATCTTTCTATCTAATGTACTTCTCGTGACAACCCGTCGACAGCTATCAGTTAAAGGCCGTGTATAATTAATCTTTATAATTGGGATAAGTATAGGTAATCGTCTGAATGCGAGTGTAATTAAGGACTTACACTATGAGAGGTATTGAAAAATTCTGTCAAAATTGTACGAGCCTTTATGTGACTGAGAAAATTACGAACGCCCGAGCGTTAATTTGCACTGTAGTGCAAATTGAGAATATAACAATAAATTGGTCTGCTCTCAGCCAATCGCAATAAAGTAATTTTCTCAGTCATGTAATAAATCATTTACTATCATTGATTGTTATTAGTAATGTATTGCAAATAACAATTCGCCTCAATGCTTCCTAATTCTGCTTTCTTTTAATACCTTTCAATGAGCCCAAATATTATAGATCTTGTTGCCTTATAGATTGTTTTCATTTTCACGCGATAAAAAATCAAATCAGAAACCATTCAGTGGATAAAGTCAAGAAACTGTTATATTATAGAAGATAAATAAAGAAGACAGTTCTCCAAGTTTAAGAAGTGTGGGTTGTCCCATGGTTGAGATATTCGTGAAAATGTTCCGCGCAAATTTACAGAGCCTAGTATGGAGCCGCCATGTTAATGTTCCGCTTGGGTACACCAATGTGGCGGCCGGAAAATACTGTACACATCTGGAACTTACTTTGGGTATCTAGGAGACTGATTATCTGCACTGAACAAACAGGCATTTAAATAAGCCCTTTTCCAAATACTATAACGTCTTAAACGGCTAAAAATCACGAGATAAATACATGTTTTTCGACAAACGCGATCGCAGCTTTATGTCACGCACCGCCATAACTCTGAATTTCAAATTGCGCTGATTTCCAAACAAAGGACGCTATTGAGCTGGAAAATTGTAAACAGATATAAAATTAGTACCTCTTATGCCTGATGAGGATGAAACCTTAAGTGGCGTTTGAGTTTTGGATTTGAGAATTTGATGACGTCACGTGCACACACTCTATAAGAACTTTAAAGCCAAGTCTCAACGTGCATTCAGACTATTCGTGCGAAAGAATTTTCAGAATCTTAGCACCCTTTTATGTTAATCATTCGCGCTAAAATCGCCTTCAATGCTATAATTTGCATGATCTGATACATATTTTCCTTGATAATGGAGTCCTGACTATTTCGAAACGTCTGATTTTATCGTTCGTTTTTACCGTTTTCTGTTTAAAGAAATCTTTTTTAATACGAATAATAATAATAATAAAACATAAACATTACGTGAGGACGATAATAATAATAATAATAATAATGATTTAATAACTTATATAGCGTTATTTACATTCAGTGATCAACAACACTTTACAACTTAAAATACTACAATAAAATTCAAATTTGTAAAACTAATCCAGCAAGATATGCTTAAAAACTATACGAAATAAATGATTTTTCAGCTCACATTTAAAAATAGATTATGTCTGAATATCACGTAATTCAGCTGACAATTTATTCTATGAATATAGAGCAGCAACGGAGAAAGATCTATCAAGTGACAAGCATTTTCCCTCTAGGAGGGTCTAACAATAAAAGTTTGATTTGATCTACGATTATATGTAGATCTAGGCATAGTGTTAATTAATTCTATGATATACTTGAGCGTCAATCCATGAATAGCTTTCAATGTTAAAATGAAGATGTTAAAATGAACACCATGTTGTACTCGTAACCAATGAAGTTCATAAAGCGTGGGAGTAATATGATATGCGAGTACTTTCTTAAGCTCAATACAAGTCTAGCCGCAGCATTCTGCTCGAGTTGCAATTTAACTATTTGCGACTTAGGCAGGCCATACAAAAGGCCATTACAATAATCTAAAGGGCTAGTGATAAAGCATGAATAAGCGTTAATAACGAATTGCGAGATAAATACTTCTTAATCCTTCTAGTAGGTGATAAAACTCGGCATAACAGATTTTAGTTACATGCGTTGACATTGGCAACTTATACTATCAAACCATGCACCAAGATTTCTAACACATGAACTAGAATAAATATCATATTCACCTACAGAGATATTGTATACATCACTGATTTTACCTAACTGCTGTCTAGTTCCTATTAATATCAACTCAGTTTTATCATCGTTAATCATTAACCTATCTTTAATCATCCAATACCTTAAGTCACTGATACATCTATTCATAGCTCTAATAGCTCCATCCAGACTAGACGTATCATCAGGCTTAAAACTATAACACAATTGCGTATCATCAGCAAAACAGTGCGCGTTAGGAAGTTGTTTCTCCATGATAGCAAATAGATTAAACGCATAAACTACAAATAATAAAGATCCAACGCAGGAGTTTTGTCGAACACCGCAGTCCAAGTCAAAATAATTTGAAAAAGTTCCATGCATAGAGACTCGCTAAATTGAGAAAGATAGGAGTAGAACCAATTTAGAGCATTTCCACGTTGACCAACAACATTATGCAGACGATCGAGCAACACATCATGGGTCACTTTCAATAACCCGTTTCAATTTTTCTGAAATTCGTAGAAAACCACTCACTAATTTCTAATTACAGAACGTTCGTTTTGTTTTTTTTTATACGACTACCTTTAAGCAACGTATCTTACACTCACAGTGACAACGTCTTACAGTGACAGCGTCAGTGTGGGAAAGTAGGAAAGCGACTAATTTTACTGCGGTCGCTGTCACTGTAAGACGCGTTGCTGAACGGTTTCCTGTGGACATCAATTAATTGCGTAACCCAGTTTCCAGCGTTTCCTAATCGTACTGATTTCTGAAGAATTCTTACCTGACCTGCCGTCCAGCTAGGCTTATCTACTGAAAGATTCAATGCCGTTCTCACTTGAGTTTTCATCTCATCCAATGTTTGTAGTCCTTTACACGAAATACCAAACGCCTTCATCAATTCACTCATTTCCGATATATCGTCGATTCCTTCCATTTTACTGGCGTCTTCATCCCTTGCTTCTGTTAAAATGGCAAAGGCCTAAAACATGACAGCAAAAGCAATTCATGACTCAAATCAAACGTTTCCTTTAATTGTATTTGCTTCTTTCAGTCTCTCATACGCAGTTAATTCATTTTAATGCTGATATTTGTTTATATTATATCTAACTTGATAATGCATCATCAGAATTTCAAATATGTCATTGTTTCAGCTTTGATAGGAATTATAGACTCACTGCATTCTTATACGTACAAAAACCCCGCAGAAACGGGTTATTTTGGTCGAGCAAAAGATAAATATGGCGGATTGGAAACAAATGCGAATAGATTGGGAGTCTCAGACCCAGGCGCATGGTACCGTCATCCATGATTTTCGAATCCACGATGGCGGGCCACACTTTCCACCCATATCCTTCGATGTCGAGATGAACAACTTGACACAGTGTTTTACGCAACCATGGGAGCGACGGGGTAATGCATGCACTATGACCTGGAGCAACGTGTCCCATTGACAACTGTCGCAACGAGAATCATATGCACAAACAAATATGCAGGCTACTAACTCAATCAAAGGTTTGTTTCAAAAATGTTTTGTCAATTTCTAAGTAGTGGCACTTACAGATAGCCCCGATTGTCAAGGTTCAAAGCTAGCTCCGGATGGTTTTTAAATCCAGCAAACAACTTTGAATAACCTGTTTCAATTCCTCTAACATTCGTGAAAAATCACTACATCTGGGAACAGCAAATTCAGCGCGGCTTCATTGTACCGGGTTATTGGCGCCAAATAATAAATCGTTTACTATAATTCAAGGCATTTTTTGCATAGAATGTTGTTGAAGGAAATTCAGGTTGCTCCTAATCTAATCAGCATTCTAAAAATATTTAACTTAAAAATGTCGGGATTTGAACAGTATTTTTCGTTTCTGCTACTCTTTTGCACAGGGACTGCATTGAGGTCGGTGGTTTGTCCCCATCCGCACAAAGACAATGAACTCTTGCCATAAATTGCACGGAAAATCCGAATCTACAATCAGTAATCTAATGGTGACTAGTAGATACTGATATACAGCAAAACTCGATTCGTATTAAACTATGTAGTAGAGCAACTGATTTCAACATTGTCAATGTCACTGTAAGACGCATAGCTAAACGGTTTGCTGTGCCTTAGTTGCAAACCAAACAAACTCCAGCAGGCCTTTTCCACTGACTGATTGTGTTCCGTTTTCACTGGAGTTTTAATGTGATCTAATGTTTGTAATCCTTTACTCGAAATACCATGCGCCGCCAACGCTTGAAACATATCCGGTAGGTTGTCGATTTTCGATGGTTTTCCAATAGTTTTGTGCAAAATTGCAGCACTTGCTTTCCGAGAAAACCTCAAACCGTCCGTTGTATGCGGCCTACTTTAGTTAATTAGTTCCGTGTAAGCAGCTTCTCTAATAACTGCGGTTTAGTTACGAAACCTCGGTAAGCAATAACCGTAGTAAACCTCTCTCGTGAAAACACGGCATAAGTGAGTTTCAGAAAACTGACACTGAGACATACGTCATTTGTATTTGTTTTACATAGCGGTCTCTTATCAGTTAGACTCATTTTGTCCTGAAAAATCTTTGGTGTGAAGACTTTATCAGGAAAACTATGGCAAAAATTTCCTCTACTGAGCTGCAGCTTTCCGGGTGTCCAATCATCAACGGGGCATCCAAATGCCGCATGAAGACCGATTATTTATTTAAGCATATTCAACTTCCAACCACGCGTCGCAGTCGTTTATCCTATTCGTTCTCCTCAAGTTTGCAGTGGAGAGGTTAATTGAAAGTCGCACGATCGAGTGGGAAAGCGGGAGAGGTAAAGTACCTATTTCGTCTTTAACTTAGAGGTGACATGCCATTAAAAGAGTCATAGATTGATCACATGATCAGTTCGAAAGCGATTTATAGCATCTAATTTTGTGGTTGAAGCGGTTTGTTAAGGAAGGTACCACATGAAAGCTCTAGTCGTTCGTAGGAATCGGTCGTGCAAGAATTTTTTACCTCTCATTCGTACACATGACGCTGAGCCGACACTGTGCTTGTGTGACATATATTATTGGTTCCGTTTAATTTGACATCACTATTGAGGTGAAAAAATTGCGAATTTACTAGGAGAAACTTAGCGTTACGGAGCATTACGAATGACTACGATCTGTAACCGCTGACCACACGAAGGGCATTGCAGACTCGTTTTCCCACGTTCTTCGACATGACGTGACATTGTTTGGATAATCAGGTGAGTAGCCGCAATGTTTTCTTAGTTTTTTATCTTTCTTTAACCAGGCACAGCTTTCATCGAATGTGCCAAAGTATTTTTCTCGAAGAATTATGCAGGATTTTGAGCGGTTTCCGTAATTAAGGTTTTGATTCGAAATACGATTGTTACGTACCTTCAAAGCATCCATCGAACAAATAATGCCCATTCTCAAATTGATATTTATTTAACCAATTGACGTCAGTTTTTTATGCGCCTGTCCTCTTATTGATGGAAAATTGCGTCACAGCGTTATCAAAGTGGCTGTGGAACCACGAGCCGTAAGCGAGTGGTTCCGTCAATTTGTTTTTTTGTCAAATGCCGGGGATAAATGAGGGCAAAAGACGCCCTAAACTTGCCGTAAACAAAGATAAGTGGATTTTATTCAAAATGACGCGAACATTGTCAATAGCTTTTCTCGCTTTTTGATTGGATTCTTAAGAAAAGTCCATAAAATCTCATTGGTTAAAAAGTTGACAGATTAAACAAAAAGAGGCATCTGAACCAAGTCCATGATCGAGATCTTTTCGTACGAAAATTCTGGATTCTTTATTATTAAAATACTGATAGATCAGGAATGTAATTTCGGCGCCGTCTGTTCACCATCATTTTGGGACGTTCGCGCAAAAATTTTCCAGTCGATAGATTTTTTAAACTTTTACCGCAGTCAGATAATGATGTTACTTGTGTCAGAAATGCAAACAAAACTGGGGGTAACCGATTGCGTTTCAGAGATATAAAGCGTGTGGAAAACTACCCTTATTTTGAAAAATTGGCGCACGTAATTCAGCATGGTCTAGAGGGGTTGATAGTTAAAAATATCGAAGCTGAGCAGGAGCCATAATCGGGGACGGAGACCGTAAGCGCGCGCCATTTCTAGTATTGGGGCTGTCCCCATGA